AAAGAAAACTCTTGATATAGAACACTGGACAAGAGTAGAAACTATCAAAGATGATAGAATTAGAATACAGCCATGCAAAGGCTGCTTCAGAAATAAGGATAAAAAGAAAACTACACAATGCTTATTTACTTAAAAATTTCAAAGCAACAGAAGAGTACTGAAAAAGAGCTAGGTTAAACAGTCAATAGCCAACTGTGAAGAATATAAAATCGAGCTTAAACCAGAAATATTAAGCTAGAAAGAAGAGACAGAGAAAGACCAGGAAGAAGCAGAGCTTATTCAAAAAATACAAGATGAGATCAGAATAGAAACACTATCCAAAGAATTAATTAGAAATCAAGTAGAAGAAAAAGAAAGACAAGAAGACCTTATAGTAATTACCAAAGAGTTACAAGATATAAAAAGAATTAATTTCTATACAGATAGATCACTATATGAAGTAGTACCCCAAAGAATACAAATAGAGGCAGGATTGGTAGTGATTGCAAAGTATGAAAAAGTAAAGAACAAAGAGAAAGTAAAATTCAGCTATGCATTTAAGGAGTGGCCATCCTCAACAAGAGCAGAATTGGAGGTGATTTGGACAGTATCATTAGTAGTATCAGAAGATGCAAAGATAACAATATACACAGATAGCCTTGTCTCTATTAGGGTTGCAGGTAAATTAAAATTCTAATGGTGCACCACTTTTCACCAATCACCAATCACCAATCAGCATTGGTGATACTAGTATTACTGGTAGTATTGGTGATACTGGTAATGCTGGTGATATTGGTGGTGCTGGTAATACTGGTGATACTGGTAGTACTGATGGCGCTGATAATACTGGTGATGCTAGTGATACTAGTAGCGCTGGTGATACTGGTGATGTTGATGATAGTAAAGTTTAATAACTTTCAATTTCTATCATTATCATTCTTGACAAAAGTAATTTAATTTTTTAATAATTTGTAGCTTGTTATTGAATTGCTAGATCAGATGACTTTATGGATCACATGCTTAGATTGACCTTTTATGGGTTGCTGTGTTGGTCTTGTTAAATCGGGTTTTTATTGGTTAGGTTTATCTCATTAAGTGGCGAACAGATATGAATATTAACAAATTAGTGCTAAAATAAAGGTGTATTTTCATATAGCTTTAAGCGTGAATCAGATCGGCGAGACGGAAGGAGAAAGATGTAATGTAGTATATTTAAGGGTGATGTTTTTAATAAAAAAAACTTAGTTTAAATACTTGATGGTTGACTTGTGTGACAAGATTAATATTAGGCAGTAGCGTGTAAGGACCTGGTTTCGGTTTATTTTTTTATCTTTGTAACTATGAAGTT